GGGAAATACCACAGGTGTGAATTTCACAGTTAACCACTAGAAGAAACATGGTTACAGGTAAGCAACCTTAATATGTGTCATTGCCCCAACTTTATTCTCCATCTTCATTGCTATAATACTTCATCTTGTTGATGGGAAGCTTCCCGCCGGAGGGGAAATCATCTATCGGACAGATGGCAAGCTATTTAACCTCAGCAGACTGAAAGCCAAAACCAAAGTTACAACATCTGTTATAGAACTCCAGTATGCTGATGACAATGTCGTCTGTGTGCATTCAAAGATCTACAAGCTACTCTAAACACCTTCGCAGAAGCATACGAGAAGCTCAGCCTGTCATTGAACATCGAGAAAACCAAAGTGCTCTTCCAGTAGTCACCAGCCAACCCCTCTCCAATGCCAGAAATACAGCTTAATGGCGTAACATTAGAAAATGTTGACCATTTCCGCTACCTTGGCAGCCACCTCTCCACCAAAGTCAACATCGACACCGAAATACAACAGCGCCTGAGCTCTGCGAGTGCAGCATTTTTCCGAATGAAGCAGAGAGTGTTTGAGGACCGGGACATCCTTAGGGATACCAAGGTGCTTGTTTATAAAGCTATTATCCTCCCAACCCTGCTATATGCCTGCGAAACGTGGACTACCTACAGACGTCTCATGAAACTCCTGGAACGATTCCATCAGCGCTGCCTCCAGAAATCCTGCAAATTTCTTGGGAAGACAAGCGGACAAACGTCAGCATGCTGGAAGAAGCAAAGACCACCAGCACTGAAGCGATGGTCCTCCGCCATAAACTCTGCTGGACCGGCCACACTGTCCGGATGCCCGACCACCGTCTCCCATAGCAGTTGGTCTACTCTGAACTCAAAAATGGAAAACGGAATGTTGACGGACAGGAAAAGAGATTTAAAGATGGGTTCAAAGCCAACCTTTAAAACTCTGGCATAGATACTGAGAGCTGGGAAGCCCTGGCCCTTGAGTGCTCCAGCTGGAGGTCAGCTGTGACCAGCAGTGCTGCAAAATTTGAAGAGGCTCGAATGGAGGGCGAAAGAAAGAAACATGCCAAGAGGAAGGCGCGTCAAGCCAACTCCGATTGGTACCGCCTTCCACCTGGAAACCAATGCCCTCACTGCGGGAGAAGATGCAGATCAAGAACAGGGCTCCACAGTCACCTACGGACCCACCAGAACACTGATCCTGGAAGACTATCCTACTCAGCCAACGAGGGATCGCCTAAGTAAGGAAGTAAAGTCTAGTCAACTTCTTGTTTTGTGATGCTAATTTCAGCCTCACCTTTCAACAGTCCGCACTGTCTAGGTGATAGAAAGAATTATGTACTGGAAATAGTTCTTTTTCCATTCCTCTTATCTGCCCCAAGTAAGTGTGCAAAAGAGTTACAGGAAATGCTCTTTGTCCCCCCTTCCAACTGCCACTGTTGAATTCTCACATACTGAGGCAGAAAGTTAATAAACCACAACTGTAAAGGTCAAGATTCAATCATTGGGGGCTGCTGGAAATGAAGCAAAGAAACAGAAGACACTGAATTGCCCTCCTGGCACAGATAATGTCTGGAAAAGGACAGGGTAATATGCTGGGTGCTGTTCAGAACAATGGCTAGAAGAGCTGCAACCTGATGTGGGGGAAAGTGATTCACTTTTTTACTGAACTCTGGACAATTCTTTTTTTTGTCTCGGCAGAATGCTTTCTATGGGCCACCAACTGAGAACAAAAGGGGATGGAATTTGTTAGAACTAGGTGATAGGGAGCTTTTTTAAAACAACTAGTTTATTGTACAATAAAGATGTTTTCTCACTCATTCTGCCTGGTCCTTTTTTTTCAAGTGCACAATTCTGTCACAAGGAGATTAAAGAATAACACATTTATCATGACACACCTTTTTGTGGATTAGAACAGAGATGAGCAACTTCTTGGTGCCTTGCACTGAGAATAGCCAACCCAAGACAATGTGATGCACAACAGCCCATTACTTTTGCATAGTTAGAATGTCATATTAATAAATACACAGTCAATTCCCACTCAACCGTAGAACTCACTTAATGACTTTGATCATTCACCATTTCTCAGCATAACTTCCCTCCAGCACATGTGATATCTTCATTGTGCATTTCATGCAGCAGATGTTAGTCCAGCCCTGACCATTCAAATACTGTTGCTTGCTTTGACCTCAAAAAGAATGGTGCTGCCAAAATTTGGAGTTCTCCCCCCCCACAAAAAAAAAAAAAAAAGACGAAAAAGGCATTGCTGGTATCCTATTAACTACATACACCAATGTTAACTTGGAATGTCTCTCCATCTCCGCCCCTGCTCCCTTGTGCAATGACCCAAATCCGTCCCCACTTTAAACATTACACTATTTCAGTGGTTCTCAGCCTGGGGTCTCCAGATGTTTTTAGTCTTCAACTCCCAGAAGTCCTAACAGCTGGTAAACTGGCTGGGATTTCTGGAAGTTGTAGGCCAAAAACATCTGGGGACCCCAGGATGAGAACCACTGCAATATTTGAATATGGCTATTCATTAGCTGGTAGTAAAGCAAGGAGGGACTGGTGGAGTATCCATCTATGTGTTTGTAGCTAATATGATAACTTCTAGGACCTCACAGGGGATCTCCCGTGGTCCTAGAATATAACAATATTTCTCTTCATCCAGCTATAGGCACACACATGGACACTTCACCACTGCCACCACTCACCTATTCCAGCTTTCCACCAGCCAGTAAATCACTGTGGTGGGGAACAAGAAAAAAGTATGGTTTTGCAGGATTGAGAGAGGACATGGGAAATGTTCTGCCTGGGCAAATCTTACTGCCCATCTCCTGTTGCAGCTTCTCACCCACCTTTTTCTTCAATTAAGGAACAAGGACCCACATTCTACCAATCTGTTAGGATACTATGATGTGTGAAGATGCTCTGGTACCCTCCTCTACCTCTGCTACTATTGTGCTTGCTAATGCATGTCAGCAGCTGTTGCAAAAACGTTAATGTTAGATGATGATCTGTGGCAGAAGCAATGTGGCCCCAATGGGTTCAGTGGCTTATCCTGGTAAGTTGCCCATCTTTATTCTAATCCTGCTTAAATCAATTAATACAGAAATTATACTGTACCATAAGATTATATTTTGTTTATACTGCAACAGGCAAATATGACTTTTCCTTTTGAGAACTGCTACCCTCAATGTTTATTTTTCAGCTAAATTGACTTGGGCAGGAGTGGGCAAAGTGTGTTCTGTGGGTTGAATGGGGTGATTGACAGTTATAGTTCTTCAGTGTCTCCTGGAAGGCTAATGCACCCCCCCCCCCCAGCCTTCCACAGTTGCTTAGACAACACAATACCGCTCCTTGAGTTTCTTAGGCCCCAGATACACTGCCATATAAAATCCACATTATCTGCTTTGAACTGGATTATACGAGTCTACACAATCATATAATCACAATCAAAGCAGATAATCTGAATTTTATATGGCAGTGTGGATGGGGCCTTAGAAAAAACGAGGGAATAATTACAATAATAAGGACAATAATTACATTTTTAACAACAATAGTGCCAATAGAGGCTTTTCAAAAGCTCAAATGCAGTGCAGTAGGGAAGTAAGTAAAAGCCTGCTTCTGCCCGAGAGAGAGAGAGAGGCCCAGGCCTGGTCGGCGCCCGAGCGAAGGATACAATAGGCTGCACCATCACCTTCTGCACTTTCTGCCCTTGCCCGCGGTAGGCCATCCCTGCGGAAGCTGTGCCGAGTGCGAGAGAAAGAGAAATCCCGCCGAGAAACTCCTCAAGGCCGGTGCCTCACCGTCTCCTCCTTCGTCCGGACTCACGCACGCGCATACGTGAGCACGCTGACTGACGTATTCCCGTCGTAGGCCACACACTTCCGCTGCGGGGCGGAAGTGACGTTGCCGTTAGTTCGTATTATGATGGCTGCTTGCGCTTGGGGTGATCTCGTCACGCGGTAACTCTCTCCCAGCGGCGGCGAGGGGGCTTCATTCGGTGCAGAGTCGGCGGTGGCTTAGGTCAGGGTTTGTTTTGCACCGGGCGGTTTGCCTATTATCCGGCGTACGATTCGGTTCTTGGCGCATCATTCCATCCTTTGCGCAATATTTGGGAAGTGTCGAGACAAGGCGGCGGCGAGGAGAGGCGTGTGCGGCCTTCCCCTCGGGGGCCTCGTTCCGCCCCTTTCGCCCGGGTGAACACCTCCTCTTCCCCGCCTCGAAGCCAGACTCCCATCTCTTCGGCGGCCTTTCTCTCAGCGGAGGCGCTTTCCTGGAGGCCGGGTAATGGGCCTAGTCGTCTTTTCTCCCTGAGGCCTGACCAGATTCGACTTCCGCTTTCTCTAAACGGGTCACTTGCTCGCCCGCGGCTAATCAGGTCCCTTTGCCAGTTAAAAGATGCCCCTGTGCTTCCCTCCCTCGCCTTTCGGGCCCGGGACCCGCCTTCCCGCGCCTTCTTTGGACCCCCTTGCCCCCTTCTCTCCAGGAAATGAGCCTGATTTCCACCCGCTACTGGGATCATGGCCACCAAGGGTGGAGTGCACCCCTGTGAGAGTAGGGTCGATTGAGCATAGAAATAGGAAGTCATCCCCGTATACGTGATTCTTAGGGACAAAAAAATCCCCCCTCTTCTGGAAGAGTTATTATTATTATGGGGGGAAGGGTGTCGCCACTGAAGCCATATCGCCAATTCCACAACAAGTTACATTTTTCAAAATCCAATTCTCAGAGACAGAAAAAGACCGGAAATCTTCAGAACTGAGACCCAGACAGCAAAACAAACACCACAGGGTTGTTAACCCTTCCCTGTGCTATCCAAAACCTATCAACTCACACACTGGTCTGGAGTTACACTTAAAAATGTACCAGTTCTGACTTACATACGAATTCAATTTAAGAACAAATCTTGTTTGTAACTGAGGGATTGCCTGTATTTCCACCTCATTACTGGTGCCGTTTGCAATTTTAAATTAATTTTTAATTAGATTTTTAAAAATGTAACTTACATTCAATAAATGTGAATGTGTATATATTTTTTAAAAATCAGAAGAAGCAAACACTAAAATAATCCTATGGTATTCCCACTCCATTACTGGTGAGAGGCTGGTTCTACCCATTCAAAGATTAAACTGGGCACCTACTGTGTTATATGTAATTGCTTACGAACCTCGGTAGTAACATTCACTCACAACTGAAAGTGAGTGAATGTTAAAAATGGTTGAAAAGGAGGTGGGATTAAAGAGGAAGACTAATTGCACAGGGCAGTCATACTTATTTTGCTACATGTACTCAGCCATTTCCTGTCTCAAGTATATTATAAACCTGATGGACAACAGAGCCCGTCCAGATGTGGGTAAACAAGTCCTAGCATTCTTTAGCCATTGGTTATTCTGGGCTACTAAGGCTACTAGAAGTTGCAGCTTGACAACATCTAGGTTAAAAGACAAAAATAGCAGTCTCATCAATGAGAAAGCTGCTCTGTTTCAACCATCTTCCTGGATAGAAGTAGGCCATAGCTGCTTGAAACACATTTCCAAAATGCCTGTTAAAGAGGTGGTGAAGCAGTATGTTGTAGCAAAACAATAGAACAATTATTTGGGTTTTTTCCCCCAGACTTCTTTCTAAAATACGTATTGAGCGGAAGCATCTGTTTTTAATAAGGAACGTTTATACAGTGAATAATTTTCTTTGGTGCCCTTCCATGGTCCCTTCCATCTGTTTCACTGAGATTTAATTGGCAATAACGCAGTGAATGGAGCAGCAGTAAATTTTTCTTGTAAATATTCCGAACCCAGCCTCCTCAACTTTACTACTGGATTGACATGTTTAACATCATGTTTAGCATCCTGCAATAGTTTTTGGTATTTTCCAGTATGCCTTTGCTTTCAAAGATTTATGAAAATAGTAATAGGAATTCCTTGCCGTATCATTTCACCATACAATGCATTTCCATACAATGACACTGGCAGTTTGTTATTGTTGTTTTGCTGTAAAGTGAGAACAGACAAGTTACAAGTTAATGTTTTTGTGGCAGTCTGCATATGAGAATATGTTGCTGTCAAATCTTGTTTCCCAAATCATAATGCTAATCAGAGGCTTTAAGTGTTCCAATTTTTTTTACTGTATATGACAGGAAGTGATTGGATCCCATCTGCTTTATGAATAGTCAAAGAAAAATTCTTGGGTGTGTTGATTAACAGAAACCCTTCTGTATATATTGATGCAGGACACCTGCCAGCTAACTGGCATTGGGCCAAGGAGTGCTAGATTTCTGCAGCTGATCGGTAACATCTCTTGATCTCTAGACTTCAAGTCAGTTCAGATTTTGATCACACTCAACAGGTACTCAGAGATAAGCCTGAGAACTGTACATTTCATATTCAATTTAAAGTGTGTATTATTCTGGCCACCCAGTAAGCATTATGTTATTGTCAGTGGCTGCTTATCAGAATAATTTGTAGATGAAAATGCTGCTCTCTAGTGTTTTTTTCTTTTGTTCCACAATGTCTGGAGAGCCATATGATTCCCAAGCTCATCCTAAATTGATTTCTGTTTACATTACTAAAGGGACATTGGATTTCCCTCCAATGTTAGCTGATAATCACCTGGTTCCTCAAAAGCTCTTGGACCATATAACTCAAAGCTACACATCCATAGCAAGATTGTTTTGATAGGATGAGAAGACAAGTGCAAGACACTTTGTTTTTCAGACACAAAATACATTTTGCTTGATAGTACAGGATAATGGAATAATGAAAGTATGAGAGTGGTAATGTGATTTTTAGTGAATCTTACTGATGTGAGCAGATTTTACCTTTTGCAGCACACTCAAACTTACATTTTTAAAAAGAGGTGCTAAAAAGATTTCTTTAAAATGTGTAAATTTATATTGTGTGAAATTAAACATTGGTGATATATTTTTTTAAAAAAACCCATCAACTTCTTTCTTTGTTGAAGAACTACTACCCAGAAAATTATCCAGAAAGAAATGTTGGCACTTGTTGCAATTATAATTCCTCAGTTATAAGAAAGTATATGTATTCAAAGGATATTTGAATTAAGACCATGTTCCTGAATGTTTTGTTCAAATTCATTTTAAAAAATTGGTCCTTGTTTGACTAAAGAGACATCAATTGGCTCTGAAATATCTTTTCAACCTTTTCACTGAATAGCAGTGAAGACTGGTTCATCTTTATAGGGATATTTGGGAGAGAGAAAATAAAATTCTAAAGAAAAAAATGAACTTCTTGAAAGCAAAATCAAACAGTTCAGTTTTCTTGATTTATGCAGCCAGGCCTGTTGTTTTTACAAATGCTGCATGATGCAGTTGCTTTCAGTCTAATTTTTTTTGCTACCCAACCTGTCTAAAAATAGTTCTTATAAGATACTGTATACAACATGCATGTATAATGTATTTCAGAATATGCAGTTGGCATGACCCTATTCTTATTCATAACTGTCATGAACAATTGGTATGAAAATTCATTTTTGTGAAAAAATTGTACTCTATTTTGAGTTTCAAAGGTGTGTTTTGTAGCCACAAAGCCTTTTATTACCCACTCATTGCTATGAAAGTATACATTATGTGAATATACAAATCTGTTTTATGCATTCAAGTATTTTTTGCTTTCAGTTAATAAAGGTCGGGGAAGATTTTTCTTTTTTCCAATAGGTGAAGAGCTTTTTGAAGACCAGAAATTGAAACTTTGTATTTTTTTAAAAAAAAAAAAACCACCAAACAAACGACCCTTAAATTATCTGGCTGTAGAAGATGGATCTTCTTTGCAGCCACTTTCAAACGCAAGTTCATTTTAAATGAACTGTTTTTTTTTAAAGAGGCAATTACTTTTCACTGTCTCCAGTCTTCCTTATCATTCAAATGGACTTACTTTCTCCAGTAGTTATTATTCATCCTTTCTGAATTTTGAACGCGGGTGTTTCCTTGGCTGTGTGAGGAAGAAACATTTTTCTACTCTTTTACTATCAATTCATCGATTGAGTGTTGATTCGATCTACAGGAAAATACCTGGAAGTATTTGAAGAAGGAGCTGATCAAGGTATTTTGATTTTACAAAGTATTGGTTTGTAAAGGTTTGAAGGCTGTCTTATTTGGCCTGCACTTTGAAAAAGCATCACAGCAGTTGCTAAAATGAAAGGAAATTAAATTAGTAGTTTCACGAGTGGCTCTGTTTCCTCTGATTATTAAATCATTGTAGGATTTCTCCCTGAAAATTGAATTCAGCACATACCTCTTTTAGCCAGCTGTAGCATTATAGGAATTAACTGAAACCTCTTTAATATTCATCACATAATTATGACCTTGGTTGTGCTATTATAAATATTGGGGGTAGGGATTGCTTGACCAGCAAGTCAGTTTTGAGGCCCCATTTCGAAGGAACAACTTCATTTATTATTATTATTATTATTATTATTATTATTATTATTATTATTATTATTATTATTGAGTCTCTCCGATGCTTGGTATGTGGACAATTTTGCCAAGTTTCTGTGGCCCAGACCATTTTGGGCCCAGAAAGCTTCTTTTCTAACACAGGAAATAATCAGTAATTTGACTTCCGTGTCATATCCTATTGGAAGAAAAGGATTCTCCTGGACCTAAAATGACCAAGAAGGGGCCAAATATATAGTGAAGAGGCATTTTGGGGCACAATGTTTTGGGATGGGAAGAAATGTGTGACTCTTCAGGGAGCTAGTGCATCTTCTAACTTGTATTATGTTATCGATATTATTATAAGGAAACAATTTTAAGGGGAGCTGAGCCGATAGTACCAAGTCTAGATAGAAGTGGGATATTGCTAGCTACCTGGAATATTTTATGAGTTATGTTTGCTCATGTGAAGGCTTCATTTGATTTATCCCTGTCGGTTTATTTCCAAGATCATATTGCGAGGAAGATACTAGCAGATCCAGTCTAGAGAAGATTGTGCCATATTAAACCAAACTTTGACCAGCTGGCGCTGAGAGGATAGTAAACATATAATTTGCCATCAAGTCATTCTGCTACCAGTTTCTGGTATTCAATTCAACATGTCTAACCAAGATGACTGTTACTTTTATTACTATTCCAAATGTAGCAAGGTTTGTATTTACCTTACTTCCGATCTTGTCTTATGTTTGCATTATTACAACTTTAGTGTGGCCTGATTAATTCAGTAAATTGTATTTAAGGCAAACATTCTTTTAAGTTGTAACTTTTATTATGAGGGTGGACAGACTACTTGTGGAAACTAATTGCTGTTTGGCAAGGATGCTGAAATCTACCACCTCTAGCCTAGTGTGAAAAGATATTCACAATATACAGCAATGTACATGCTTTCGCTGCACATAAATTCAGCCAGTTGTCATGACAAATTTTACCTGTGTAAATGCTACCTTTTGATTCAATTTGGTTCATTACTGCTTACTTGTTTATTGTTTTCATTATTTTATTGTAGTAGCCAGTTACCATAGTTTTTCTTCCTGATGGAGTAGCGCTTACTAGTGGAACAAGGTGTAATTCAGTCCAGCTCCCTGCCATGCAGGAGAAAGCACAATCCAAGCAAATTACACCTCATTGTTTACTTTAAAATCTGTTGGGAAGGGTTACATGAGCTTTTGGGCTTTTAATTTTTATTTTTGCAGCGGAGGCAGTGAGTTAGAAAGGAAAATTGTTTGGCTTGTGACATGAGATTTTATTCATGCCGAGTTTTCAGCCTGAATCTTCTTAATTTGGTTCTTTTTCTCTGTTTCATTTTCCATAGGGGAAGAGTTGCCCTTTCCGTCACTGTGAGGCTGCCTTGGGAAGTGAAACTGTTTGTGCTCTCTGGAAGGAGGGACGATGTTTTAGAAATGTCTGTCAGTTTAGACACATGGAGATCAATGTAAGTGCTTATCTAATATTCTGATAGTATATTTGGTGTGAGAACTGTTCTAGTAGGTCATTTTTGGAAACTTGGTTATGCTAGTATTGAGCATTTCTTTGCACAGTTATGAAGAAATAAATGCAATTTAATGTTAGCAATGTATTGTGACTAAAGTGATTATTTACTTTACAATTTTAAAATGTCATCGCTGCTTTGTTTAGAGCATAAAGATGTATATTTGAAAAACACTTCACAGTGTGAAAATTATGATGTTCAGAATGACAACACAATATTTTGTATAATACTTAGCTACTAAGTATCATTCTAGCTTTATTCTGATTTTAAAATAGCTGTCTCGGGTTAGTGATATATTATTTATGAATTAAAAAATTATATCGTGTCCTAAATCACTGAATTTTAGGCAGCTTACAAGTAAAATTGATTTAAGCAGGTAACACAATTTAGACTATAAACATAACCCACCATTTAAACAAAGCAAACTTAAGAGATTGAATTTTTATGTATGTATTTAAAGAATTTTTACCCGGCTACTCAGCTACAATGACACTCAGAGCGGCTTATAATATTTTAGTTTGCTCTCATTCTTACAGTGTATGTAAGATCAATAATTATTACATAAATATTACATAAAACATGCGGTGTCTTCCTGGCTGCCTCCTTCCTGCTCAATGGCCAGCGGAAAGATGCTGGGAGGGGCTCTCAATAACTGCTGGGTGAAACATGGTGGAATCACTTGGAAACCACAAGGACATCAATTAGTCCCCAGAAGCTTTGATTATAAGCCATGTTTTCACGTGGCACCAGAATGAAACCATAATTGCTTCCATTGGGGAGGGGGTGGGGTGAATTAGCATCCCACAATGGATGAAGCAGCAGTTAGTGGCTTGGATCCAACAATGTCCTGCCAGTGAGATTGAAACAATTGGTACAATAGATTTCTATTTGCTATGCAATTCTGCTTGAAGAATAATGTTTGCATTAGGTAGTTACAACCGATCTGCAACGATTACTGCCAGTAGCCCTCACTGTCTAAATAACACACTGTGCACACTTGAGCATCTACTTAGTAAAATAGTGGGTGACTTGCATAGGCAAGAAATAAGTTAACTATGAAAAATGATATACACATTCAATTTTTAGTACCACGTGCTCTTTGTTGTAGATAATTTATCTACAACTGGATTTGAAATAACAGAAAAAATGCAGAATGAGAAACAGGTGAAAAATAACTAGCCAGCATCAAGAGTGCCCTGTGATTGAGCAGAATGCCTTTTCACTCAGACTCTGTGCTGATTATCTTCCCAGATGTGTTCCAAGCATACTTTGCTGGAGAGATCCCAACCTCCTTTTTTTTGTTGAGACAGGGAAAGTATTTGATGCATACACAGAACACTATATGCAGATCTTGGATTCTAGCTGTTGCTGTGAATCATTTTTCATAGGCGACTTTTCATCCATTAATTGATGAGATTTGTTAAACAAAGGAAACAGTATTTTGTTTTGAGTCCTGCTCCCAATCAGTTACTTAGATTGGAAAAGTCTATGTTACTGGTGTCATGTCATTGTGTTGCTGCCTGCTGGTGTAAACTATCAGGTCATGCTAATGGACAATTTTATTCTGTTTCATTTTCAGAAAAAACGCAGTGAGATCCCATGTTATTGGGAAAAACAGCCATTGGGCTGTCTGAAGTCGAACTGTGCGTTCCACCACACTAAAGCACGTTTTGTGGATGGACTTTTCTTACCTCCGAGCAAAAGTGAGTTGTGTTTTCATGACTGGAAAGCTTCTCAGCTTTTATATTTCTTCTAGGTATATTAAGGAAAATAAACCCGGCTCCTTTACTTTGTTTCTTTTTTTCCCAGCAAGAAAATTACAAAGGCATGAACTGTTCTTGTGGGGTTTTTCGGGCTATATGGCCATGTTCTAGAGGCATTTCTCCTGACGTTTCGCCTGCATCTATGGCAAGCTTCCTCAGAGGTGAGGTCTGCTGGAGCTGGGAAAAAAGGGGTTTATATATCTGAAAAAAACCCCTTTTTTCCCAGCTCCAGCAGACCTCACCTCTGAGGAAGCTTGCCATAGATGCAGGCGAAACGTCAGGAGAAATGCCTCTAGAACATGGCCATATAGCCCGAAAAAACCCACAAGAACTGAGTGATTCCGGCCATGAAAGCCTTCGACAATGCATGAACTGTTGTTCATAAAGTATCTAAAACAGCTAGGTGCATAACAAAAAAATATTGTGAAACCAAGCAATACTAAAGTTTGGAAATATAGTCATGTGGAAGTAGCTTCATAAAGCAAACTATTTCAAAGTCCTTCTTGGGGTTCAAGTAACTTCATCTGTCATATTAAAACTTGGTTTTTGGAATGTCTTTTGGCACAGTCATCTTTCTGTCTATGGAACTGTTTCATAAAATGTCTTTTATCAGGCAAAGTTGTTTCCACATAATGCAGCTGTTTAGGTAGGACCTATATTTCCTTATTGTTTTCATGAAAGCTTCTGTCTTACCACTATCACAAGTCAAATTTATACATTTGTGGGGCTTTTATCTCTTAATATCGATAAAGATGAAATGAACCTAAAAAGAAGAATTAAGATCATCTTGGATGGTATAAGTTCCAAATAGTTGTTGATAGATATATTGTGACTGCTAGGATTGTTGATGCTGATCAGTGTGTCGGATTCTTAATTACAAATTCTGAGTTGAATAGTTGTTGCTTACAATAGCACCATTAAATTCATGAGATTTAAGTTAGCTATAACAGAATTTAAGTCTGATTGATTTCATTGAGTCTACAGTAAGTGTGGTTAGGTATGATTCTAACTTCCTGGTTCTGTTTGTAGTTTATATCTCTTTCTATTTCATTTAAGCTGCTATTCCAAATGTGCTTGAGCCTCCAGAAGAGGAGATAAAGATCTCAGTGCAGCAGAATAAACTTTCTGTTCAGTCCAATCCATCTCCCCAACTGCGTGGGGTAATGAAGGTAGATAGTTCTGAAAATGTACCGAGCCCCGCTCATCCACCAGTAGTTATCAATGCTGCAGATGATGATGAAGATGATGATGGTAAATAAAAATTTGTTCTCCTAAATAATTACATTTTTGTATTGTTTAAGTTTTTTATTTAGGTTTTTTAAAAAAATATAGCACATTGTATCATCTGGAAGCATTACTATTTATTGGTTACTGTGTCTTTTTATTTTGACTGATATCTACCGTAAAAAACGGGGTACTAGGCGACTTTTTAGGCATGTAAATCCTTATAAAATTTTGGAGGTCGTCTAGTACCCCGGGTATAAAAATAAAATAATTAAAAAATTACCGGTAGAGCCTCTTGGGGTGGATGCCTTGGCCACGGGCTCCCCTCCCACCCTCCTCCTCCTCCGCTGCCTTGGCACATGGCAGCCTCCTGGTCAGGCTCCCTGTGGCTCATCTCTTCCTGGCTTCCATGGGCAGGTCTCGCGAGAAGCGCCTCTTCTCCCGCGAGACACCGTTTTCTTGCAGGAGAAGAGGCACTTCTTGCAAGACCTGCCCGGGAAGAACGAGAACGGCCTGCGCAGAAGGGCTTTCCGCCCTGGTCAGGCTGCTCGCCTTCTTCCTGTCCTTCTTGCGAGACCTGGACAGGAAGAAGGCGAGCAGCCTGACCAGCGCAGAAAGCCCTTCTGCGCAGGCCATTCTCTTTCTTCCCGGGCAGGTCTCGCGAGAAGCGCCTCTTCTCCCGCGAGACAACGGTGTCTCGCGGGAGAAGAGGCGCTTCTCGCGAGACCTGCCCGTGGAAGCCAGGAAGAGATGAGCGACAGGGAGCCTGACCAGGAGGCTACCATGTGCCAAGGCAGCGGAAGAGGAGCGCCGGAGGCCCTTCTTTCAGTCCGGGCTGGTGAGAAGCGCTGGATTGCGGAGCCGTCTTAAACGGCGAATATATCCCCAACTCTGTATTTTTGTTATTAAAGTTGGGGGGTCGTCTTATAGCCCCAGTCATGTTTTACCCCGGAATATACGGTAGTTTATTACAATAAGAATAGTTGAAAAGACCAGAAGTATGTTAAATCATGTAACGCTTAAAACAAGATAATTCAAAATAGTTGAATTGAATGGTTGAAGCCTGTTAAAATGTAAACCATAAGACTTGTGCATATTTTGATAATAATCAATTAATCCGCATAGGATTTAATAAATGGAGTATTTTAAGACCGTGTTGGAATCACTCCAGTGTTGTTTCCATTCACGCTTCTAAGGGAAATGTAGTAGTTACCAGGTTGCCAAAACAAAGGATGCTCTCTTCCATGACCTCCCATAGGGCATTGCACCCACCAGTTGGACATGGAAGGACTTTCCAACAGACCTCATTTTTCAGGCAGGAATACATGCTCCTTTTTTTTTTAAAAAAAAACAAAAACCCAAGGCCATATAGAATTGTAAACATTGCCCCCAGCACATTGAAGCCAGACTACATTACATTGCAGCACACATAGCCCTCCATATCCACAGAGTCTGTATCCATAGATCCAACCAACCATGGTTTGAAAATATTTCTTTAAAAGTCCTAAAACCAAACCTTGTTTTGCCATTTTATATAAGGATCATCATTCTTGACATGAAATAAAAATAATCATACTACTATGCTGTTATATATAATGAGACAAAATCAGTGAATTGTTATGTCATGGGGGTGGGTGGGGTGTTATCATAAAACCAAAATCCAGTGGATACATGTGTCCCATTACGGTTTAATGAGGAAACCATTGTGGCTGTGTTATCCCTATCTCAGAAAACCTATTGAAAATTAATGAATAATGACAAAATATTTTATTCCCTTTTGTTATGTGCCTTAAACTCATTTCCAACTTTTGATGAGCCTACCATGGGATTTTCTTGGCAAGATTTGTTCAAAGAGCATTGGCATATGTGTTCTTGTGACGTTGTTCAAGCGTGACTTGCCCAAGGCCAATGGGTTTTCTTTGGACTCCAGATAGTAGTCCTACAGCAAAACCACTACACTAAACTACACTCTATCCAGGAGAGGCTGTAATTAATGAGAGATTATGCCGTAGATCCTTTACCAAGTTAATTGCCTAAATAGCTAAAGGCACCAGATCTCATTTGATGTTAGAAGCTATCCCATTTCACTCCATTCAGTACTTGCGTGGGTGGCAAGCATTACATGCTTTAGGCTGTATTTCAGAGGTTGGAACCGGCAAAACCAACTTTGGGTATTTGTTTCCTAAGAAAGCTCCATAAAATTTGTGAGGTCATCATGAATTGATAGGTGACTTGAAGGCACACACACACACAAATCCTTTAAAATATTTGCTTAATGTCATAATTCAGCACTAATCTTCATCAAATGTGTAAGAAAATGCACTTGAAATATTCGTAGGTTTATATATGCCAAACTATTTTAGTTTTCCTGTAAACACGTGGAATTATATTCTACTACTTATTTATTTCAGATCAATTGTCTGAAGAGAATGAGGAAGCTAAAATTCCTCAGCAATCATCTTCAGAAGTTCGTAATGGATTGCGAGTAGTTCCTACTCAAAAACCTATGACTAGCACAAACCAAGATAAAGGTAAGGAATATTGTGCTTGAGAGAAACAACCTTGATGATCCCTTAGGAGGAGATTAGCTTTGTTCATGTCTTCCAGCTCCCTTTTACCATTGCTTTAATAAAATGTTGTGTCTAAAAAGAACTTCTTGTTTTGATGAAGCTTGTACACATTAAGCAGTATATATATATATTTAAGGGGGGGGGGGGGGGATTTAGTCCCGCAGAGAATCTCAGTAGATACAGGAGATGTTCCATTTCAGACATATTATTTCCACATGAGGAAAACTTCCCTTCTTGAACATGCAGTACACATGCAGTCACAGGAGTACTGCTAATGCATCACTTGGTGCCAAATGTTGCTATATCCAACATTGGATTTTGTTGCTTGTCCATCTGAGCACAAAATTTAAATTTGAACTTCCTGTGATTTAAAATCTAATGCATGTGAAACTGAAAAATTGAGCGCTATGAGGACAAATGTTGTGGGAAATCAATGTTATGGCGCTTTATGAAAAGATTAGAGCTGGATAAGTTGAGAAGTCTGTTCTTGTTAGCTGTTGTATGTTAGCGTATTGTGTTTCAAAAAATGGATAGTTTTGTTTTTGTGGGGAGGGGTAAAATATACTTTTGTTTTCTGTAATTTGTCTCTCAGTATGTGTCTTTGATTGATTGATTGATTGATTGATTGATTGATTGGAGGTTTGTTTCTTTGAATAAAAATAAAAATGTAAAAGAAAAGTATGTTCTGTGTCCGCAAGAAGCCTTGTTGGAAATTCCACATGAATGTTTTACAATAGGAATTGAAACTTTGTGGCCTTCCAGGTGGTGTTGAACTGTAATACTGAGATCTTCACAACATTGTCTGCAATGGCCAGGGAAACTGGTAGTTCTGATTCAGCAATATCTGGAGGGCTTAATTATACCCACCCTTTAAAAATGAGCTCTGCCTGCAAGTTCCCAGGCCTTCTGTGGGCCCTAGAAACATTTAAATAGGTGCTGCTTAAAAATGGCATTTGTATATATACACTCTTAAATGTAACTATTGTGGAACCATCTTTTAGAATGTTCTAGGATAGGGATCCTCAAACCTTTTAAGCAGAGGGCCAGGTCACAGTCCCTCAAATTGTTAGAGGGCTGGATTATAATTTGAAAAAAAAATAATTTGAATTCCTATGTACACTGCACATATCTTATTTGTAGTACCAGAAAAACCTCTTTTAAAACAATATAATAATTAAAATGAAGAACAATTTAAATAATTTTGCAGGTCTTGCAATAAATTTAAATAAATATAAACCTATTAGTATTTCAATGGGAAGTGTGGGCCTGCTCTTGGCTGATGAGATAGGATTGTTGTTAGGTTGACCCTGAGTGAGGGACAGGGCCATAGTTTGAGGACCCCTGTTCTAGGATATACAGGTAGTCCCTTATTTATGAACAAGATAGGTTCTGTAGGTTTGTTCTCAAGTTGAATTTGTATGTAAGTTGAAACAGGTACATTTTGTATGTGTAACTCCATATATATATATATATATATATATATATATATAGAGAGAGAGAGAGAGAGAGAGAGAGAGAGAGAGAGAGAGCGCTTTGGATAACATAGGGAAGGGCTAACACCCCTGTGGTGTTTGCTTTGCTGTCTCTTACACTCTACAGAAGTTTTCACCTTTCTATCACTTGATAATTGGATTTTGTTGTGGAAACAAGGATTTGGTGAGAAAGCTTCAGTGGAGACACCTTTTCTCCATGAATTTCTCTCCCAAGGGGTAGATTTCTCTCTCTTCCTGTTGTCTCATCCCTGTTCTTAATTATTCATGTCAGATGTTTGTGAGTCAGGGGCTGCCTTTACTTAGAACCCAACAGTAGGAATTGTGTTATAAATATTCCAGTGTGTTAAAAAGATTGGTAATAATTGCCAGGACTAAGCAAAACTATTTGTAACGGTTTTTATATGAATGAAGGGGCAAGTACTTCAAATGTGCCCTACTGATAGTAGGAAAGACAGTTAAAGCCCTGAGATTCTGACTTGTTTTGTAATAGAATATGCAGATGTGCATTATAAATTGGCTAACTTAGCAGTGGTTGTCAACCTTTGATCCTCCAGGTGTTTTGGACTTCAAGAAATTCAAAGTTGTTGGGAATTGTGGGAGCTGAAGTTCAAAACACCTGGAGGACCAAACATTGAGAACCACTGGGCAAGAACTTCTACTTGTTAAGTAATGATAATTCCGTTCCTTCTCATTTATCCTTTGATTTCATTCTGAAATGGGATGGGCAGTGCATATCTCCCAAAGCTAATAAAAATAGTATTCTTCTTGGGGTTGTGTATTCCAGGCTGCAGTGCTAAAGTGAAGAGAGCCCAGCATTTCGTATCTGTCTTTACACTGTTTTCCCCCCCTTGCATGCCTTGTTTGAAAGAAGCTATGTTTCTTCTTCCACATCACCTTTATATGTGAAATTGTTATATTTTCCAGATGGTAATTTGAATTTTGGGATAAAGACACTTGAGGAAATCAAGTCAAAGAAAGCAAAACAAAAAACCAAGCATCTATTTCGTAAGTTCACTCTTTTCCCCTGGTGATTTGGGTTAGAATGAAGTCTTGTTTGAAAACGCCAATGTGCTTGGTATCTGAGAGAGTATACTACTTAGTTCCGTAGTCATGAGATAGTAATGAATTGTGCATGCCCTCCTGTTGTGGCAGATCAGAAGGTTTATATCAGCATATTAAAAGTGTACCTCAGACGTGTTGTCAAATGGACATACCCTGTTTCCCCGAAAATAAGACATACCCTGAAAGGAAGACCTAGTAGAGGTTTTGCTGAATTGCTAAATATAAGGCCTTCTCTGAATGTAAGACCTAGCAACGTTGTTTTTGGAAGCATGCTCCCCCCGGTGACCAGAAGCTGCAAGACCATCCCTGATATACAAGTGGCCCAGGAACTGCTGTGGGATGTCATTACAGTCTCTAGACAATGTGAGGGAGCCAGGCACTTCACAGCCCTTATTTTTTGTGGCTCTGTGTGTGAGAACCAGAATATTTATTATATATTGACAACTACTATAAAGTATATAATAAATGTTCATTTTTTCATTCAACAACAACAATACTACTAATCGTTTTATTAATACTATTGCCATATTAGATGTGCTTAAGTTAGAGTAATCTTCTCTTCCTTTAGTGCCTCTTATGCATTCTTCACAATTTCAGCCTTGAAGTCCTTAATAGTTATTACATTGTGGTAGTACTACAGCTTGATGTCATACTCTTCTACTTTTTTCAGCCCTTTCTTCTAAAATTGCTGCTCAAACCCAGGCCCATCCAGGCCGCGATAATGAAAATGAACGTGCTATGGTCAGAACTGTAACTTTATCGACAAAGGATGGTAATTACATAGTTTTATCTCTGTGACCAATAGAAATGAGTGGCAGTTACTTGTGAATGACTAGATCAGTCACATCAGCAGTACATATAAGCCAATGCAAGGACAACGCTGGATTACATTGTGTTCAGTGTCATGAATGAAAAAAAAGTTGCAAATTGTAGACAGCAAATACTATGAAATGTTACTAATATTTACTTGCAGATGCAAGGAAATCTGAAAGTATGCATGTTCCACAACTCTGCATATATGGTGTCCCACAAATCTGCAAATGGCCACCATGAAGCCATAACTTTGTTTGCTTCAGTGAAAGGAATTTTATATGTCAGGTTATGTCAGTTTGTTCAGCCAATTGTACTCAAAACCATGTTTTTAACAATACTGCTTTTTAACTGCACCAGCTTTGCTTTGTGGTAGGAAAAAGGGGTTGCATCCATTTCAAATAGAAATAAGTAACCTAATCTTGCAAAGAGTTTACTGTGAAGAAAACAGATTTTCCTCCCAAATTTTGTAGTGCAGACATGGTTGAGTCTCTTGTAACCCAGGGCCATCTGTTTTAGTTCTTCTAACCTAGGGATGGACATAACATAAGTTTGCTTGCACAGGTCCTTTCTATCTAATAGAGGCTTTTGCATTCTACTAATCTGCCTATGAGCCCCTGGTGGCACAGTTGGTTAAAAAACCACTGAGCTGCAGAACTTGTTGACAGAAAAGGTGCAGGTTTGAATCTGGGGAGCAGGTTGAGCTTCAACTTCTGCCAGACTAGCAGTTCAAAAACATGCAAATGTGAGTCGATCAGTAGGTACTGCTCTGGCGGGAAGGTAATGGCGCTCCATGCAGTCATTCTGGCCACGTGACCTTGGAGCTGTCCGTGAACAATGCCAGCTCTTTGGCTTAGAAATTGAGATGAGCACCAACCCCCAGAGTTGGACACAACTGGACTTCATATCAGGGGAAAACCTTTACCTTTTAAAAATTTGCCTACTCAGATAAAGAGCTTAACTTGTATTTTCTGTTCTAGCACAGTAATTTTTGTAATCCAGTGCTCTTACACTGTAAATTGTTTATACTCAGATGAGGGTTTCTACTGTTTTTGTGTTTTTCCTATTTAAAAGGCAAATGTGAAAGTTGCTTGCATTTTATTGTCTCAGGTGAGCAGCCTAAGATTCAATTGACTCTTGCAGAACGACTGGGGAAACGGAGTGCTCCCACAGGTAATATATATGTATGAAGATGAAAAAATATTTCTGGAATATTTGTTGCTTTACTCATTAATAATTCCCTGACTTATCTACTTGCACTTCAAAATGCTTTTTGGATCAGGGGTTATAGTTATATAATACAATTTGAATCTTGTGTTTGAGAAAAAATGCTTAATAAGGATTGCAATATCCTATTTATGCATAAGTACCATATATACTCGAGTATAAGGTGACCCGAATATAAGCAGAGACACCCGATTTTACCACAGAAAACTGGGAAAACGTATTGACTTGATTATAAGCCAAGGGTGAGAAAAGCAGCAGCTACTAGAAAATTTCAAAATAAAATTAGATACCTGTAAAATTACATTAATTTAAGCATCAGTATTTTTTTAATTTTTACATAAAACTGTAATTTAAGATAAGACTGTCCAACTCTGATTAAACCATTATTCTAACCTCCTTCAATGTAAATGTGCTTACATATCCTTCCAATAATAATAGACTAAAATAATGGAAATGCAATAATAGAGTGAAATAATAAATGTAATAGTAATAATAATAAAACTAATAAATGTAATAGTAACAATAATAGAGTAAAATAATAAATTTAATAAAAAATAAAGAGTAAATTAATGTAAATGTCATAACAACAATAATAGAGTAAAATAATAAATGTAATAATAAAATTAGAGTAAAATAATAAATTAATAATAGAGTAAAATAAGAAATGTAATAAAAATAATAATAACAACAGAGTAAAATAAGAAATAACTTTGACTCAAGTATAAGCTGAAGGGGGCTTTTTCACCCTTAAAAAGGGCTGACAATTTGGCTTATATTCGAGTATATATGGTATTTAAAATGCTACAATGTAGTATAGACATAATATATTTGTAGGAGGCATACAGAGCTAGAATTTAAAAGCAAAGCAGAACCTTGAAATTCAGCCCTTTTGTTTTTTTTATCGTAAGTTGCTGAGACTGACCTTCCTACAAAACGTAACCTTGCTGAAAGACTGGGAAAAAGAATACATCCCTTGGAGAATGCAGACAGAACACCAAAGACAGGTATGTTTGCTGAATCAGCAAAACGAATGCAACACCTTAGATTATTATTAGAATGTTTGATTCTGGTATTATTAGGTTGCTTTTTTTAAAATAAAAAACCTGCATTTTGGAGAAARCAGAATATGATGCACAGTTTTTTAAAAAATGGTAAGTATCTTTCTAACTTGTCTTTTAGTACAGGGATTTGTGATTAAAATACTCATTGAAGACATCTATTTTAATAGGTACAAGGAGTTGTAGAACAGGCAGACCAGTGAAGTGCGCATCAAAACGTTAAAGGAAATCAAGCGGGAGAAAGCTCTTCAAATGCGGCAGGGTGTGGACAGCAAAAAGACACAGCTTCAGCCTGAGAGAACTCCATTTGAGAGGAGACTGCAATGCATTACAAAACCAACAGGTGCCACATGTTCATAATATTTTTTACACTTCCAAATAGCTGGTATGTACTTGTATTCCTTTTATCTAAAAGAGTCATGTTGGCGGAAGAGGAGAGATTCAATCCTTTGGTCGTTTTGGCTCCTGGCCTATGAATATAGCATCGATACTTGTTTTTTAACTTTTTGGAACTATCAAAAATGCAGTGGGCCACCTCCCCTTTGTTATCTCCATATAACTTCAGTGAGTAACCAACTAGCGGTAACAAGATGTAATGGTTCCCGTACCTTTTTCCTATCAACACAGTCTTCCTTGCATGGGAACCTTTTACCTAGTAGTTTTCTCAGGACACATCTACATTGCCATATAATCCAGATTGTCAAAGCAGATAGTAGACATTACCAAAGCAGATAATCCAGATTATCCGCTTTGAACTGGATTATATGAGTACATTGCCATATAATCCAATTCAAAGCAGATAAAATGGATTTTATATGGCAGTGTAGAAGGGGCCTGAGTTTCTCCTTTCCTCAAGCTCAGAAAACCAGAAATTCATTCGATGATATCTTAGCACATGGGATCACACATTTCACAAAAGTATGATCTTTCTTGGTTTAAAATTCTCAAAAAGTTATGGGATGGGATTTCCAAACTGATTTCAGAATTGCCTGTCCCAAAACCACCAGATGAGGCACACTGTTGTGATTTGCATTTATTCCAGGACACAGTACTTAGTGTCCCTCCAAATCTTTCACTTCATTTGCTTTGGAATCTGTAAGACTGGCTTATGTCATATGAACATGCTGCAAAGACATGACCTATGAGTGGTATAATATTGTGTTAATGTGAACTGGGATGGAAACATGCTGCGAGATGTGTGTTTGGTGTGAACAGACATTTCTGAAAGAAAAAAAGCATACTATCTGGGTCAACCACAGTTGTAGTAAACAATTCAGTTTGAGCAGTAGAAGAAATTGCTTGCTCTCCATAATTGGGTATACTAGTAATAATATACTAGTAATATACTAGTAATAACTGATGATAATACAGTCCATTAGCATCTAGACTAGAGCTTTCCAAACTGTGTGTCACCTGTAGCGTACAGCTGTGTCACATGAAAACCGCTCCCCCCCTCCAAAAAAGACTTACTGGCAGTCGCTTGGAGGTAGTGCTTTGGCTGTCCCAGAGGAGGACATTATGAGAAGCAGTGGCGACAGCCACGCAGGCAGCACTGAACCCAAGCCTCCTCTACCCTCTTCCTTCTTGTCTTCGGCTCTCCGCTGTGTCTCCTGATGGCAGCAGCCAAACTGTGGCCCCAACCACAGTCAGGGAGGAGGAGGAGGACAGCAAGGATGCAGATATCCTTAAATGCATACAGTCTAACCCCTTTCAGCCAAGAAGGAAGACACAGAGAAATCCTGAGGGGATCCCACTGGACTCCCAGGGAATCTATACTTCACTGGAGTTAGAAGAGACCCCCAGAGAACATGCAGGCGTCAACCTAGCAGAAACGCAAAGTCAAAGCACCCCTCGATGGCCTTCCAGTCTTTTTGACACTTCCAAAGAGCTGATATGTCTCTGTTTGACTATAATCAATATGGTGTTTTAACAGACACTGGAAAGGAAGAAAAACCCCAGCTGGCACCGACCTCAAGAGTGTCCAGAACAGGATCTACTGTCAAGGTGAATGTTCTTTGTGCTGCCTAGGAAAACTTCATATTCTGTGTTCTTGAGGTTTGTTGTGTCTTTTTGCTTCACTGAGCCTTGAC